GAAGAAAAACTAGCTTTCTTTTGTACTACAGAAAAGACAACATCATTTATTTCAAAACAAAAATTAATACTCTATGAATGGGGGAATACTAATTAAATTCCAATTACTAATTAACAAATAGTGAATGCCACGTGTCAAATGGTAATTCTCTTGTCGGTGGAGAGTCCATAAGGGGTATTTAAGATTGGTAAAATCATAAGTATCATAAATTGGTATATGTATACGGCAAAAATTACAGTAATAAATTGGTACACTTTTTTTTTTTTTATGGACAAATAATAAATTGGTACACATGTATTGAATACATAATCCTCTTACACTCTAAAAAAATGTCAAAACACACCAACATGGACTATCCATTAATACGTTTTTTTAAAAAAAATATTTGTGGTTGCATTAAATTTGAAAAGTCATATTCTATATAATTAAGCACAAAATTATCGCAAATTATATAAAGATGAATAAAACAATATCGGACAGCTGTGAGATTGCTTTGTTGTACTTTAGACTATCAACAAAAAAGTCTAACTGGTCCGGATTAAGGAACTCTCCTCTCTCAGATTTCGGGCAGCGTTTGAGATTTTTACGGGCAGCGGTCAAGTTAGGTCTTTGCCTTTCGACAGCTCATGGCCAGTTTCAACTTCCACGAGTACAGTTCTTGATATTATTATACTCGCGAGCCTGCCTATTGGTTGGTTATAACAGTTCTGCAACCGTAAGTCGCCTGATGATCAGATTCGGACCGAAGTAGGTTGTTTAGATTAAAAAAAAAAATGATTAATGAGATGATTCGGACCGTACGTAAAATTACAGTTAAGCTCAAAGTGGTTTTTGTCGTTAGACGCAAGCCTAAACGATCAACATTTTACTTGGAGTTAAAATATTTTATTTAAAGCCTAGTAGTATTACGGAAAGTCGGTCATTTCATATTCAACCTATATAGTAGTGTTCAATTCATACATGAAAGTTTACTATGTGCTAATACATACCCAATCTTTTAAAATTTTCAAATTTCATACCCAAACTTATCAAATTGTGCGAAATCACACATCTCTTGTCTCTATTGCTGACGTGGATGCCACATCGTTGATGACGTTGATGACGTGGTTGCCACATCCTTCATGACGTCGTTGCCATGTCACCATCATTTTAAACAAAATTAAAAATTAATTTTTTTTTTCTCTTCTCATTTTTTCCATCACTATTATCCAACGGAACTGTGAAAAAAATTATATATTTGATGTAAGAATTTAAAATCTTCTTTTCGAGACTGATAACTAATATTTTAACCAAAACTAATATTTAAACCGAGTTTATAAACTCTAAATTTAGAATTCTTCTAAAAATCTTCAAATCACTTTTAGTAGAAAACATAAACCCTTACAATATATCTTCTCTATTAATCAAACGACATTTCTAAGTTGATAACTATCAAAGAGAACTTAATTACATATATTACTATTAGAATAAATTGTATTCTAAGAACAAAATTAATATATGTCTTCAAAGATTAATATATAAGATTATTGTAGGGTTTATATTTTTCATTGAAAGCGATTTGAAATTTTTTAGAAAAAGAATTGCGAATTTTGAGTGTAGAAACTCGGTTTAAATATTAGTTTCGGTTAAAATATTAGTTATAAGTCTTGAAAAGAAGATTCTGAATTCTTACATTAAATATATTTTTTTTTTCACAATTCCGTTGGATGATAGTGATGGACAAAAAACATGAGAAGAGAAAAAAATTAATTTTTATTTTTGTTTAAAATGGTGATGACGTGGCAACGACGTCATGAAAGTCATCAACGACGTGGCATCCACGTCAGCAGTAAAGACAAAAGTTGTGTGATTTCTCACAATTTGATAAGTTTGGGTATAAAATTTGAAAATTTTAAAAGATTGGGTATGTATTGGCACATAGTAAATTTTCATGTATGAATTGAACACTACTGTATATGTAGGGTATGAAATAGCCGACTTACATACGAAGTATCATGTTTTAAAAATAGCAAAATTGAAAACTGAATCGTCAAAGAAAAGTAAAATCTCAAAATTTACATTTGAATTTTTTTTTATAGTAAAATGATAAATATCAAATTAAAATATTGAGAATGAAATAAAAAATATTTAGATGTCGTCTATTGCTTAGATGTCTTGTAACTCTTTATTTTTATTATGAATAGTGGTTAAGAGCTCATGATCGAGAAATGACTTTAAAATGTCAAATTTGAATCAAGAGTAAAACAATTTGTAGTGATTAAAGGATATATATATACCACTTGAAGGAAAGTATATTATATATATGTTGTTAATTGTGAAGTTGAATTTGTCTTCCTAATGAAAAAAAAACTACGGGACGGCGGATAAGAGATTAAATAAATATGATATGTGAAAGAACACATGCAAAAGATTGGTCTTAACTCTTAATATGTCATTGCCATGTTCTTCTTCACTGCTACCCCATGTTTTCCAGCTATGTGATTCTCTTTTGTAAGTTATAAAACAATTCATAAATTAATCAAATCAGAGCTTCAGTTTCGTTATCTTTTTAAACGTGAGAATAATTGGGAGAAGAATAGAATCTTAATTCCTAATTTGGTAGATTCAAAAAAGTAAAGTAGGGCGAATATTTTAACAGAAAGAAAAGAATTTTACTTGATTCCAAGTTCAATCGGATGGCAATCAAATACCTAAAAGTTACCCCACAAGAAAATATATATATATGAGATTTTTAAAATCAACACAAAAGTGGCTGTAGTTTAGTGGTTAGAATTCCACGTTGTGGCCGTGGAGACCTGGGCTCGAATCCCAGCAGCCACATCTTTTTTACCTCGTTATTCTCATTTATTCATAATTGGGCTTTGGATTATTAAACGGCCTTTCCTTTGTTTTCTCCCCTATTGACCATTGTCATCAAATGGGGCTTTTGGAATCATCTAAGCACAAAATTCTCTCCCCCCATAGTGTAAATGAATCTACAAATTACTCCAAGAAACTGGCTATTGTAAAAACTAAAAGGCCTGAAATCGTTTTTCTACACACACAATGATACAAGTACTCTACAAAATATTTCAGGTTTTCAACTCCAAAAAACCAGCTATAGTAGAACAAGAAAAGTCAGTTTGAGACGTAAACAACAGAATCAATCGAAGTCAAGATTTGTTGTTTCTTCATTTTTTCCAGACACGAACTGTACCATCGACCGAAGAAGTCAACATACAGTCTTCTTTCGGGTGGTAACTCACGCTTGTCACCTGCCACAAAGAATTAACAATCGAAGAAATATCAACACCAATACTATTCAGAAAAGTTTAAAACGGGTTAAAAAGAAGAGAAAGAGTCTTTACCACTAAATCATGAGCTCGAAATTTCGATACTACTTTTGCATCTACCAAATCCCAAAAGAAAACCAATCCATCCTCTGATCCTCCAATCACATGTGCATCAGAATTCGTGAGGCAACAATCCGTTTTAAATGACTGTTTACACACGAAAATACCAGTCATTAGTCATACTCTAAATGTTGTAACTAATATATATATATACCAGTCAAGCAGCTATATGGATTATGGTTTCATTATCTTTCAAACTAATGACTAACCTTGGAAATATGACCTTTATAGACTTGGAGTAGTTCTCCTGTGGTTCTGTAATTTAAAAGATATTCACAGGAGTTAAGACAAATCTGCAAGAGAAATATACGTTATTTTCAGAACATACAATTTAGTTTGGTTTCTTTTACCTGTCAAGTAGACGCAGAGTAGAATCCAAGCAACCAGCTAAAACGCAGTTTCCATCATTTGATATCGATATACAATTAACCGGTTGGCCTAGGTTATCGGACATCTCCCTGATTTCATTAAAAACCGAAGAAATTCCCAATCAATCTCAGAAGAAAGTAACAATACCAAGTTTTATTTCTTGTAATGAGTTTATACATACCTACCGATACGCATGTCAAATGTGCGAACTGTTCCATCGACACTACCACCAATAATCTCAGTCTTTGTTAAAACAACAGACATGACTGTATCCAAAAATGTATCAATGATCTGAAAAAAGGATCAATGAACAAAAAAGGACCAATTAGATTTAGCTCTAAAACTATTCCTTATTCCCAGGATTTGAAACAGCAAAAACATGAAAGGAGTAAAACCTGTACTGGCTCAACACTGTGGGATCTGCAGTCCCATACACGTAGCGAACGATCGAAACCAGCTGATACAACTACAGACGACGAATCATTGAACTTCACTGCATTGACCTGATAGATCATTTGTTCGTTAAAAAAACAAGATATGATCAATATATCTAAGCAAACTAAACCCTAGGCGATCCAGATTCCTAGTTTTTGAGACATTTACCTCTCCATCATGACCACGGAATTTACGGATTACACGTCCGGTTGATACATCCCAGTAATAAACTTGCCGATCACCACCACATGAACAAAATTTGGCATTGTCTCTGTGAATAAACAAACACAATCATCATATTAGCCTCCTAATTAGCTTGACATTAATGAAACACAGACTCAATTTAAGCTGAAAGCAACAGCAAAAGTGCACAGAACCAGAATCAAATAAATTTGGACTATCTCAACTTAAACTGCACAAATTTGAATCAAAATCACGAATAGTTCAAGAGAATAACTGGAGATGAGAAAGAGCTGATTTCTTACGAAGTAACATGAACGTCGCGGACTTCGCGGCCATGGGATTTGTAGGTCTTGATTAAGATTCCACGGTGCGGGTTCCAGAGGCGGATGGTTCGATCCTTGCCGCAGGTGAGAGCGTAGTTTCCGTCGCCGTTAAACCTCGCCGCTAAAACCGCACCCTCGTGGCCTTTAAGTATGTGTGCCTCTTTCGTCGGCAGCTCCGCCGCCGCGCTCATCTCTCTCGCCTGGAAAACTGACAGTCACGTTTCCATGGAAACGGGCTTATACTAAAATAGTTAAAATTTGATATTAATGGGCTTCCATAAAGCCCAATTTATTTAGCCCATTTAGATGGCAATAAGCCAATAACTTTGGAGTCTTTGCAGTTTTACCGCCGATTTAGTGTCGAAATAAATTCTGGTTTGATCGATTTTTATTAAAATTAACACCAAATAAAAACTTCGCGTAACGGATATTAATATAGACAGTGGTAAATGCTTAGCAATTGAGGGTAATTAAATTAACCACGATCACTTGTGATAATTATTATTACTAACAAAAAATTTAACGACCAAAAAAGCTTCTCGTCTCCCTCATTTATCTTCCACTATATATTCGTCACATCACACTCATAATCTCTTACAAAAAATCCAACACACAAAAAGAAGCAATGGCCACTAAATCTACTTCCAAGCCTCTTCTGCTCTCATTTCTAATGATGTCATATCTCATATCGATCTTTCATGTCATCACTGTCGCCGAGGGAAGGACTCTCCAGATCACGACGCTGGCTAAGGACCATTCCGGCGCCGGAAACTTAATGGATTGTTGGAACGCGGGTTTAGAGCTTAAGTCATGCACCGACGAGATTGTCAAGTTCTTCCTTAGTCAAACCGGTACGACTGAACCGGCGGTTAAAGGTGGAATTGACAAAGATTGTTGTGGAGCCATTGGGTTGGTTGTGAAAGATTGTTGGTCCGTTATGTTTACTTCTTTAGGGCTTACGACTATGGAAGGGAATAATTTGAGAGAGTATTGTGAGTTTCAAGCGGAGAAGCCGGAGTTGTCTCCGTCTCCGGCGCCGGAAACTTTGGCTTTGTCTCCGGTTGAGATAACGTACCCCGGACTTGATTAATTATATAGCCTTTCCTTAATATTTTAAGTTAATAAAAGTTCACTCTTACCATTGAACTATGTTTCGTTTTTATGTGGAACATTTTCTGATTTATATAGTTAAATTAAACAAATAACAAATATTTAATGATAGGTACACAAATTTTCACTTTGAAAATGTGAATCGACAACTTTTAGAGATGTTTAACGTTTTTTCCCCCAATTTCCAAAGGTGTTTTAATTTTGTTAATCACGGTCTAAATCGACTTAAAATCGTTTTTGGCCAATTACCACGATTTTAACCAATCACCAAACCGAAATTCCACCAAAAAATAATCTAAACCGGAATGTTTAGCCTACCGTTGTTTGTTTCCCGGTAAAATTAAACATTCTTCAATCTTGAATCCTAGAGTCACCTGATGGTTTCTTCCTCAAGCTTAACAATATTCCTTCAACAAGCTTATCTTCACCAAAAGTTTTTGCAGACTTCTTTTGCTTCTTATCAGTGTCCCAAGAACCCAGAATTTGTAGTAAATCGCACTCTGCTTCAACTTCTTTCTTCTTCTTCTTCCTTTCCTCGTCGTTCTGTTTTAATGAAGCTTCTTCGTCTGTCTCTGAGTTATACTCTTCTTCCTCTGAAACAGATGACTCATTCTCATGAACCTTTTTGGAAACTGGACCAAGATCTTCGAATAATGAATCAGACTCATATGGAACCGGGGTGGACGAAGGAACAATGTATCCTGATTCAATCCTAGCCTCAGGGATCATTTGTATCAACGACTGCAGTTTCGGATAACCGAGGTTATGATGTTCTAAGCGGTATCCAAACTTGACCAAAAAGTCTTTCTTGAAGTTACTCATGTTATAACCTCCAGGATTTTCCTCTCTTATCTTCTTTATCAGCTTATGACAATCCGCAATTACCTGGCTTCTCAATCTTTCTTTAGGTTTCTGGCTCATACCAACGTCCTTGATTTTTTTCTCACCATTTGCTTCGTCACACAATGATTTTGACATATTCACAAATATCGATCTCAATCCCTCCGTAGCAGGAGGGTTGCTAAGACAAGAGCTTTTCTCGGTGAACCAAGTTACTCTAAAAGGTAGAGCATCAGAAGGATTCTCCTGGATCCATTTCTTCTCTGATATTAACATTGATACTAAATCAAGCATTTTTGATACATTGAGCGGTTTGAGAGATGAAGGTCCTTCTTCCTTAAGATTCTTAGCCATTGCTTCTCTGGACACGTAAGCAGCTTATCATTAATTGAATGTTATTTCCCTGATAGCTAATGCAGAAACATTGGTAAGGGAAAGAGAAGAATAAGAACCTTGATCTTGAGTGAGAAACAAGGACGAAGCCTCTTGGAGAATTAATGAAAGATTCAATATCCTTCCAAAAAGAATCTTTAGCAAAAACATCATCTACTTGAGGTCCAGTTACTGTTGCATTGCTAAGCTCTATATTTCCTCCCCAAGAAAACGTGCATCTCCTCAGAAGTCGACTTAAGAGCCATGGACTCTTAGATTTCTTGTTGCCTACTTCAGTGTCTGCTTTAACTTCCTCAGCAGATTCACTAGAGGTAGAAGATGCAATTCGAGATTCTAAATTCGTATTCACCACTTTTTCTTCACCAACAACTCCTTTCCCTTCGTCTCCATTTCCAGAAATATGTTTCTTTTCTTCGAGATGCTCTAATTCCACTATTTCAGGTGAACCAAACCATAGTCTATTTAGCTTCTTAAGAAATCCATCTTTTTCCTCGGAAGGAGAAACATCATCAACAACAGTTAAAGCTAGCTGAGTTGTTTTAACTGGTTCCTCTTTTGCCTTAACATCTATCTGCCTAATTACCTGAACAGACTCTTGAGAATTCTCTTGTAATTGAGATTCCTCTTTGACATTTTCATCATTCTGTTTCATATCCTCACACATCTTGTCCAAACTAACAACTTCGTGATTCTCACTAGTTACATTCGGTGATGAGGCTTTGTTATTTATTCCCTGGGTAACAGCATGAATAGAAAACATACCATCTCCCACTGGAACAACCTGTAAGATCTTCGGCATAGATAAAAGAAACCTCGAAAAACTCTTATATCCGTAAAAGTCTCTATCTAAGTGTACTTTCCTCTTTCTCAGCTGCTCACGGAGTTCTGTAATGGGTGCTCCCTTAGGATACCAACTCAAAATCAAACCAATCTGCTTAACAACTTCTTTCGGAATAGGAAGACAAGCCTTAGAAGAACCCGAATTCGTCGCATTTGAATTCGATTCAACCAACTCTATGGTTTTCACACTAGTACAAGATATTTGCTTGTTGGTAGTGGTGGAAGATGTGGCAAATGGGTCAAGAAGAGGAGTTCTATAGTGACCATACCAAGAATTATAAGGACCATCTGGTGGCTGATTGTAATATTTAGCAGTTGGATTTTTCCCTCTAACTAAAGCATCCCAATCCCACATAATCGAAGCAGCACTACACAATACACCATGCGTAGCTTCTTCGTACCCCGCGAGCAAAATGTTGTAATTGTTCATCCTCAATCTATGTAGCACATTCGCGAAATCTCTGTCACTAGTGATAAGGAAGATATGAGCAGGAGGTGGATTCTGTAAAACCCAATACATTAGATCTGTAATCAAAGATCTATCCGTACTGTTCTTCCCACCTAGTGAAATCGCATAAAAATGTAAACTTTTTCAAACAGATCCTTAAGTAAAAAAGTAAGCTTTTTGCATAGAAATGAAGTAGGAGAAGAAGAATTGACCTTGAGGAACATGAGTGAGATTGATTCCAGTTGCGAAGAGAGCTTCTTGGTTAGTTCTGGAGAGCTGGATTAAGTCTCCGAAGGCTGTGATGGTGATGGGTCCTTTGATTCCGCTGATTCTAATGGCGGATGTGATGGTTTGAGCCAATTTGAAGACATTAGCACCCGACGGCAAATGACAGTTCTCGAAATCCCACCATACATGAACCCTAACACTCCGCGACTCCTCTTCGTATTGATGACGCCTCAAAGAAGTGAAGTGGCCGGAGATCGAGCTAGAAGAAGAGAAATTTGCGACCAGAACAGCGATCGCGCGAGGCGGCTTGAAGACGGATGTGGAAGAGAAACCGGCGAGGCGGAGGAAGAGTGATTTGGTAGACGCGAATTGCATGATTTTCTCAGGAAATGGGTAGAAGAATGAGAGGTTTCATGCGTGATTGTAATGGCGGAAATGATTTCATTGAGCTGAGGGTTTTAGCATTTTTAGGAGTTTGAGGAAGATGAAGAAGAAGAATAGAGAAAAAGCATGCGTAAGACTAAAACCCCTTGCTCACGTGCACGTCACGTGTTTAATGGCTTAATATGGGCCCTTTTGTGTTAAGCCCATAATGTCGAACCAACGAGATTTTCCTCGGGTCCTTTTTATTTCTAACTCGTTTTGGCCCAACTAGATTACGATGAGGAGACACGTGTCTTCCACTTTTACCGGCGAGATTATTTTGTGTGTGGTAGATAGATTCAACGGTGGCGCCGTCGTATAAAACTAAAATGCAACGTTTAAATTTGCGAACTGATGATTTATTTTGCTTTTTCTTCTTTCATTGTCTTTTTTCTTTTTTTAGACGGTAGTTCAATTTAATTTTTGAGGAAGAAAAAGATTATTGGGAGATGCGTGTATTCCTTGAATTCATCTTTCTCATAATTGGCATGTTTATTAAACTTTTATGGACTACGGATTTAAAAAGGAATAATAGCAAACGAGTAGTGGATACATCTGTATCTGTTTATTGATAGAAGTGAATTTCTTGCAATTTTTAGCGACAAAAAAACATGTATATATAGAGGTATTAATTTATATAAAAAAAAGAGCCTAATATTGAATATTGTCATATTGATACAATTATATGTGTATCATGAGTCTTCATATATGACATGTTTATTTAATTTCGACGGCGCCTACCCTCCTGGGAAGGTCCGTGCGATGTTTCGTTTCGTGGATTGTTCTAATGATGAGATTATTATCATATCATAGCCAATCATTAATTGATTAGTTACCACTTACCAGAAAAATGTTCTTAAGAAATAAAGATATCATTCCATTATATATCCAAAAATTTAACAAACTAAAGATGTTTTCCAGGTTTTTTATGTTGGTTACAACGACCCAGACAAATGCTACATTCAGGCACGAAATTAATGAAATGTGACTTTTAAAGAAGGGGGAAAAAGGACAATATAAGCTAATTATAAGTTATTATTGGTCGATGATATATGGATTAATTATATTACTTTGCAATTTGCATGTCCATGAGTCGTGATGACGTGGACGTATGCATTTGTACAATCGACTATCTTCTTTAGTTTTCTATACGTTAAACCACATGTCTATGGGTCATCAAACACTTTATTTGATTGGTCCTTTATTTTATTTTTTGACTTTACCGTTTCTTTTTAATTGATTCGCTATCTTTATACCAAGATAATTATTAATTTATTTTTAGGCTTCTTTAATTTTATAAGATATCCCCGAAGGGACAACTTCGTCTATATGTTATGGATCATGATTGAGTATAGAAAGCCAAATATTCAATCAATTGGCACAAATTTAAAAGCTGTTGAAAAACTTTAACTGTTACAATATATTCTTCTCAACTAGTCAAGTGCATGAATTGTATAACAAACCAATCAAATTACGTATCAGTTTTGAACCTTTTTTGAAAAATCAATTATGGACGGTACACACTGTCACGGTTTCCACGAACCCGTCCAGAAAAAATGGTGTGTACCAACCAGTGTTCAAGATATTTTAAATCGGAGTAAAATTGTGTTTCCTCTATATATATATATACACGATTAGGCACAAGACAAATACAAGTAACTGAAATTTAGCCATGATACTTGACTCATCTAAGCAAATATTTGCTATAACAAGTACTTGTCTAAAATCTTATTACTAGGAAGTAATTTCACCCGGCTTGTTACTTGCAAGCTAACTTGACTCGGTTTGTTACTTGCAAGATAATTGCTATTTGAACTAAAGAATTTGAATACTAAATAAATCTTATACAAATTACAAAACATTAAAGTTCTAAACATCATAAAATCACAAGACATTAAAGTAATTATTATATCAAGTATCAAATAACGAGTAGAGACGAGTAACGGGGCAAGTATCAAAAAAATTTATGATACTTGATACTTGACCCTTATTTGAAATTAATAGAATTAACCTACTTGTTACTCGACCTGACTATAACAGGTACTTGAATTTTCAAGACGAGTAGCTGAGTATCGGGTACGAGGCGAGTAACAAGTATTTATGCCCATCCCTACCTATATAAAAGCAAATTAGAGTAATATATATATATAGTTTAATTACATTTTTTTTTTTGGTGAAATATATATAGTTTACATGTATATGGATAATGTTTTGTCTGAGAGTGTGAGTGGAACAAGAGAGACTCGATAAGCTAACAATATAATTGTTCTGTAAAAAAAATAAAAATTGGTAAAAAACTATGAAAAACCTGAATTATGTTTAGTTATTATACAATTCCACAACAATAATTAATAAAAATCAAATTTTGATTTTATTTTGTTGCAAATGGTGTAAAAATGTGCCTAACGATGGTTTTAGTTAATCCTCAAACTTGCATAATTGCCTAAACTATTGCACATAATTTGTGATTTCCCTGAATTGTGTATAGTTAGTAAATCCAACAGAACAATGATCACGTTATTTTGTTTAATTATTTGTGTCCACATGTTTCTCTTTATGAAAGTTGATATTTTTTACTTTCGTTAAATGATGTTTATTTTCTTCGAATACATGATTTCACAGTGCAGTGTAACTATAAATCAACCATACAATAAAGTAAATCTAGTAGGTGTGGGGATATATGGACGGAACGAGAAATTTGTTTAGGTCAACATCAAAATAATGTGTTGGTTTAGTGACATTGTGACACAAAAGTAACGTCTTTTTTCTTCCTCCACACTTCGTTACGTACTTTTAAAATATTTATTCTATTACTTTGTACGTAATACTACCGTAATAAAAATATCAAAATTTTGCGTGCTTGTGTCTGTACTTATATAAATATATACATATATATATATATCCCACTTAGTTTCTTATTCTGAGTTCTAACCCAAAACAAGAACATTAGATTATCAGATAAAAAAGAACAACCCTACAAACAGTAACCAATTTATACATCTCCAGGAATTTAAAACCAAAACCAAACATCATCAAATCGATCGATGGACATGGAGTCAAAAAAACCATATATGATGGTTACTATAATACAAGTCATATATACAATCATGTTCTTGATCTCTAAAGCCGTCTTCAATGGTGGAATGAACACTTTCGTCTTCGTTTTCTATCGTCAAGCTTTCGCTACCATCTTCTTGGCTCCTCTGGCTTTCTTCTTTGAGCGGTACATATCTATATATATGTATATATATGCAAATAGATGTGTATGCACATTAAGATTTTGTAAACTTTAATTTCTATCTATAAATGTTAATTGTATTCTCTCCTTTTTTTTCTTTAGGAAAAGTGCTCCACCTCTTTCATTTGTGACCTTCATCAAGATCTTCATGCTCTCTTTATTTGGGTATGTAGATGCTATGCTACAAGTATAATTGAATTTATCGATCTGCTTTGATATTTCTCTTTGCCTAATTAATGTTATCATGATTTCTTTCTATTCAAAGTAAAAAATGTTAATATATAGAAAGCAAAACGTAAAAATTCCATAATAGTCTGATTTACGCAGATATATATTTGTGTTTATTGATCAAATTTAATATAACATTTAAAGTTTGCAGTAATTTTCTTATCAATATTCTTCGAAATTTTACTAATAAAAGCAAATTTGGAAAAAACTTTTTTCTTTGTCCATTTTGCGTTTATAACGTTGGGGTTTTAAAGGAAAAACATTAAAAAGTATTTGAAGAAAGTATATAAAACTTAAGACATAAACAAAAACGCGCAAAAGCAAAAATACAATCAGGGCTTATTTACATACATGACATACTATACTAGTATAATCAGTTAAACTTTATATATGTTGAACTAATTATCAGTAAAACTTTATCTATATTGGGATTTTCAGTGTGACATTGAGCTTAGACTTAAACGGTGTCGCATTATCATACACGTCGGCGACTTTAGCCGCGGCCACAACAGCTTCCCTTCCTGCCATCACATTCTTCTTGGCTCTCTTATTTGGGTATACTTACAAATTACAAGCATATCTTAATGAGACGTTAATATTAATACCTAATGACTTACTCTTTCTAAGATCTATTTATTGTGTATTAATTTAAAGAATGGAGAGGCTTAAGGTTAAGAGCATACAAGGAACAGCAAAGCTTGTGGGGATTACTGTGTGCATGGGAGGGGTAATTACCTTAGCTCTTTACAAAGGTCCACTACTGAAATTACCTTTATGTCCTCATTTCTATCATGGCCAAGAGCATCCTCACCATAATAATCCCGGCCACGTCTCCGGCGGTTCCACCTCGTGGCTCAAAGGATGTGTCCTCATGATCACCTCCAACATTTTATGGGGTCTCTGGCTCGTTTTACAGGTATCTATTCAAATTGCTCCACACATTATTATCACATTGGTGAAACTACTTTATAGGGCAAATAATTGAGTATTGACTATCTTACTAGAGACCAGAGTTTGAACCAAACATTTAAGAGTTTTTATTATGCTAATTTGATTAATTGTGATATAAGTTTCTGCTAATTTATTTAGTTTAATTCTGTTTCATATTTAAATAAACAGGGTCGTGTGTTGAAGGTTTACCCTTCGAAGCTATACTTCACAACTCTTCATTGTCTATTGAGTTCGATTCAATCCTTCGTCATCGCGATTGTTTTAGAGAGAGATATTTCAGCTTGGAAGCTTGGTTGGAACCTAAGACTCGTTGCAGTCATTTACTGTGTAATTAGTTAACTCTAATTCATTTCCTAATTAATATTATTTCCATAGTATAATTAATATAAACGTGACATATATGCAGGGATTCATAGTAACAGGCGTAGCATATTATTTGCAATCATGGGTTATAGAAAAGAGAGGACCTGTCTTCTTATCAATGTTCACTCCTTTGTCTCTCCTTTTCACTCTTCTCTCTTCAGCGATTCTCTTGTGCGAGATCATCAGTCTTGGAAGGTTCTAAACAAATCTTCTTTGCTATTTTCAGTTTCCTTATCTATTTAATAAAGTTACTTATACATGTGTATGTGTGTTTTTGTAGTATTGTAGGTGGATTATTGTTGATTATAGGACTCTATTGTGTGTTGTGGGGGAAAAGCAAAGAGAAGAAAAACAGTGGCGATGATAAGACTGATCTACAGAAGGAAAATGATGTCGTTTGCAATGAAGTGAAGGTCGTCGTTAGTTGAAAGAATGTGTTAATTTTTGTCTTATATATGTGCTAAAATTTAGGCTTTATATAATTTATCAATTTATGTGACTAATCATTCACATCTAGTAGAGTCTAGAATAGTTATGCTTTCTGTATTAAATTTTTTTTGCTTTTAACTTTTTGTCACACACCAGTTATAGTTTTTAACTAACTTTTAGTTAACGTATCATTTTGTTTGTACTATACACTTATGGTGGTTTTTAACTTTCCATAGGTTATGTTTTGAAGTAAGAAAATTAAATTTTCTAATACGTAAAATATTGGTTATAAATAAAATATGGGATTATGGAACACCCATTAATGAATTTACTAAAACTGTAATTGAAAGTTAATTAAAACAAAAATTTCTTTTTTTTTAAAAAAAATTGATCTTTTAGATCTTCTGGAAAGTGTACAACTTGGGTGGGGACTTGCAAATAGACTACTGAAATTGCCCATAATTTTTTCAAAGAAAAAAAAGAACAAAACAATAAAGAGATAAATATTAAACACACAAACTGAAATTGCCTAAAGAATGCTAAATCGTTTTTTGTTTTGTTTTATAAACCATGAAATGGTTGAAAAAATATCATTTTAGCTACTCCTGATTGGTAATTTCTCTGCTGTTTCTCTTGTAACTCATTTGTTTCCTAAATCAGACAATGTAGACTCTTTGACTTGCTTCTCCAAAGACACATCTTTTTCTGCTCCCTCTGGTTTAGGCAACACAATCTCTTTGTCTTGATCAGATTTTTCGATCTTCTCTTTAGCATCCACAAACTCTGGAACCTCCTTTTCTTCTTCTGTGACCTCAACTTCCAATCGTTGATCAGTCTTTACCTCTGCTTCATCTGTAACCTTAACGTTCGATGTTTCAGGAGTCTTGGCTTCAAAAACTTTTGGAACTTTAATCTCTAAATCCTCTGTAGATTCAACTTCTGAAACCTTTAGAAGTTCTGACTCTGCAACTTTAACTTCATCAGACTTGACTTCCGGAACTTCTGGAATATTCTTATCCACCAAGACTTCAGGAACACCTGATCCTTTTGTAACCTTAATTTCAGACAATTCAGGAGCAGAAACCTCATAAGTTTCTGGAAGTTTTGACTCTTCTACAACCTTAACAGCTTCAGATGTTTTCTTAGCTTCCAACTCCTCTGGAAACTTAACTTCCCAATTCTCTGAAAAGTTTTCTTCAGCTTCCTTAGCTTTAGGAGTTTCAGGAGTCTTAACATCAGAATCTCTTGGAATCTTAACTTCGAGGTCATCTCGAGTCTGAACGTCAAATGGTTCTTTTGGATCTTTGACATTCGAAGCCCCTAAAGCAGTAGTATCAAGCTTTGAAATCTCTGAAGAAGGACCGGTTTTGTTATTGGTGTCTGGTTTTCTCGGAGTTAGATCAGTTACTTCTTTTTCGACTACTGTCTTGTCCTGTAAAAAAAAAGTCATCCACAAATTGATTAAAAAAAAAAGTGAAGAAAACCAGAATTTCAGGATAAATTATTGTTCCTTTTTTTTTCAGGATAAATTATTGTTTCTTTAGGTTCCACTTCCACATATAAAATGTAAAACATATGCATTAATTATTAAAAAGTTTTACTTTTTTAAAAGGGGTCTCAAAACTTAGAAGGCAAGAGAAGCATTTTTTTTCTTTTGATTTACCCTTACAAACGCCTTCTGGTTCCCAAGAAATCATATAAATAATTTTGTCTTAAAGCTAGTATCATTTACTGATTATAAAATAACTTACATACAAACATTTTAATCTAGGGATGAATGGTAAACTAGTTTTTTAAACGTAATTTCGTTATGATTTAAAACATAAATTAATTTTCACATTTGTATACTATGAACATGTTTTAATATAACTACGTAAAATGAAATAAGTGATTATTTAGAAAGACAAAAAAAAAATTCACCTCATGAAACAAGTGACTAAGAGAAGGGCGTTTGTGGTGATCATCAACGTCATCTTCAATCAAAATCTCTTTTCCCTTCTCGCTCCGTCGTGCAGCAGCGGCAGCTTCTTCCGCAGCGTTAGGAGCAATGACGTTCTCGCTCTTCTCAGCCGGATCCTTGTCATGATCAGCCAGAACCGCCGTCTCTCGCTCCACCGGAGCCAGATCCTCGTCAGAATCTTTGAGAACCTTTGGCTTGATGGCACAGTTTCCCATCTCGTAAACACAGATAATGAGAAAAATATTTTCTCTCTCTTGATTTGCCTTATATCTTCCGAGAGATTAGAGAGAGAAATGCTGAAAACGGAGGTAAGGGATGGTCAAAGAAGACTTATGTCCGATAAATTCTCTGCGGCCATGAAAGGAATATAGAGAGACAAAGATTTTATTTAATTTTATAAAAACAAAGTTTTAGTAAAAAAAAGACGTAATTTGATTTGTTTTATTCATAGCAAGAAAATTATTTATAGAAAACCTATCGATTCATAGAAAAGATAGTAATCGAATCTTTACTTTGGATGCATAGTATATATTATTGATACTGAATCGAGCAGGTGATATTACGAGAAAAGGGAAACAAATATATGATTTTATTTTAGTATCTCTGTGGGAATCTCTGTTGTCCATTTGCATTCCGAATAAATAATTAAAGAAATCTTACACACAACGGTCATATAATACGTGGCCATTACATTAAAAACATCAATCGGGAGCATGGTGCAAATAGTGATGTTTATTTTTTCGAAAATTACTTGTATGATGCATTATTAGTAACAAATAATTTGTCTAAAATAATCGGAAAATCTCATATGATAATGACAAATAAGAAGTATAAATCTCGGCCCATGAAAGATCAGGTTTGGGTTAAATGATGTAGAATCCGGCCCAAAAAAAGCAAATTGAAAAGAGCTTGTTGATACTGGCCCGTGAATGTGTTGGTGGATAATCTCCCAAATATACCGGCTCACCGGTTCGATACGGCTAACCGGTTTTCAATTTCTTTCCATTCGTTTGTTTGGTTCCTTCATCTTCTCTCCACTTCTTTTGATTAATGTCTATGGAAATCCCACTATGCTAATAGCATCATGGAGAAGTTTCTCGTCGCTGAAAGAATTATCGTCTTCTCCGATAACTCTTGTAAAAAGTTTGGTTCTGTAAGTTCAAAGATTAGATTTTTCTTTTATTCATGTTCTGTTTCGATTATTAGTTGTTTTGATACTTGCATCAATTTTTTTTTTGGCAGAGTGGTAAAGTTTCTAAATTCCAACGAGCTTCAAAGGTATATGCAAACCTGTGGCTATAATGTGTGATGTTAAAAACTCTATGAACGAGCTATTCAAAAGCTGAAAAAGATGAGAATTTTGATTTAGGATCTTGTTGATGATTGGTTTGTTCAGATTTTGGAATCAAGAATAGGAACACTGCTATAGATTGATTGTGTAGCTCTGTGATTATCAGCTTTATGGATACTGAACTCTAGCTTTCGTCAATTTTGCTTATCTAGTTTGTTGATGAATTTGATTAGTATTTGTGTTATGCCTCTGAAGTTGCAAATATTGATCTCAGAACTCTATAAGATTCACATGTACCGTTAAGGAGAAGCGTTCTGATGCTAAAAAGGCTCTGCACAATCTTCTATTCCACACCAAAGGAAGTAGAGATTTTCTTCAGGTGACTTATTTTTCATGTCCATTGTTGAAATGCTATTTATGGACTTGATTCAATACAACATTTTAAGAGATTGCAAGAGAGTATGTAACATGCCTCAAAATCTCAGATGTTAAGAACGCGTAAGTCTTTCAAATATGCTTTCCACCAATATCAAAGAGATTGATTATTCATTAGAGTTTTCTTTGTTTTTGCAGCTTCCGTTCTGCTGCTTTGAAATGGCATCCAGATAAACACCAAGGGCCTTCTCAGGTATATATACATATAGTGTAAAAAAAGGTTGCATGTTTTCTTGCGATCATCTACAGAAACTAATTTGGTAATGTGGTGGAAATTCACAGGAGGCAGCACAAGAGAAGTTCAAACTCTGCCTTGATGCGTATAAATCACTCTGTTCTTCACTCTCTTGATCGTTTACAGAGAAACAAATTGATGTGGTTAAATGATTTCTTTTCCTATAGGTTAGGTTCATGAGAGTGACTCCAATAGGTTTTATCTTTGCAATGGCATGGTGGTTAGATATTCTTACTTGTATGTCAAACAAAATCGTCATTATTCTGGTGAAATATCTTGACTTATGATAATATTATTGAAAGCTTAATCCTCCAAAGTTTAAACTTTTAAACGTGAAACATTATTTGTTAAAAGAAAACATTTTTGTAAAAGTATGTTGAACTTATGATACAAACTTACATACCAAAAGAACGTGTTAAGTCCGATTTATTTTCAATATATTAAATTCAACGCTTAAATGTTTTAGAAAGGGAAAAAATTGAATAGTCAAAAAGGTCAAAAATAAAAACAATTTACTTAAAACATTATAACTTAACTAAATGTTAAATTAAAATTATGTTAACACATGTTGAACTTGTAACATCAAAACTTACGGATCAAAATGACGGGATGGTAAGTCCAGTTAGTTTTCAACGTATTTTAAACTAATTTTTTTAAAATAATAGTGAAATTAACATGGTTTTAGTTAACAATTATTAATTATTTTTTTAAAGTTTAAGTGTTAAATTTTAGTGAAAATCATTATTATTTTTTAAAAATGAGTTTAAGTGCTAAATCTATATTACGTGAAAATATGCCGAACTTCGAACACCAAAGCTTACGGACTAACTAAGGACATGATGCCTAGGCGCGGTTACTTTTCGAGGTTTTTAAATATTTAACACTTGAACTAACTTTTAAAAAGTAATAGTGAAATTAACATGATTTAGTTAAAGATTATTAATTATTTTCTTAAAGTTTTCGTGTTATTTAAAAAAAAAAAATTAACATCATTACTATTTTTAACATGGTTTTATTTAAATCAACATGGTTTTTTTGTTTTTTTTTTCCGTCAACAGAGCTTTTATATTGAATTTGCGAAATCATTACAAAGCTGATGTTTTAACCATACAGGTTGGTTTACAGAACCAGTATAAAAGCTAAGACCATTACAACCAAACTTTGCCAACACATGTGCTGCATCATTACAACTACGTTTTACAAAAACAAATTTTATCTCCTTAAACTTTGATGCCCAAAAGTTGATATCACTGAGCAGATTCGTGATGGAAGAAACTTTGAGGTTTCCATTGATACACTTAATGAGGGTTTCACAATCACCTTCAAAAATAACATTTGTGTATCCCCGTACCCATGTATGTTGCAAAGCAGCCAAACAGCTTCGTGTCTAAGCCTCCAAGGGAGATGTTGTGTGATACAGAGGTGTGGATGCCCATTCCTTGGTGGAACCAGCATGATCCCGTATTAACCAGCCTCCAGTTGCATGAGATGTGACGGAATTAAAACTGGCATCAAAATTGCATTTTACAAATGGCAGAGGAGGGCGTGACCAAAAGGACCTGGAGTTAACCACTGTTTCATTTCTTTCAGATGTTTCCTTACTTGTTATATTTAACCACTCGTTGACTTCCGCTTGAGCTTTAAAAACAGTCTTGGACGGGCTCTCTCGATGTTGGTTAAAAACAAAATTATTTCTTGATTTCCAGATTCTCCATAAGAGCCAGAAAGGTAGGAATTGGTTAACCTTTGATATCCCTTGGATATTACGTAGATCCAGAATGTTCTTGATGTTTGCTTCGAGGTCCTCTGATGGATGTTGCAGTTCTTGTGATGGAGGGTGTGCAAGTCGCCAAACTACAGTCGAGAAAGGACATGTGAACAGAACATGATTTATAGTCTCCTCTGCTCCTAGACATCGGGACATCTTGTATCAATTGCTACTCCTCTAGAGCTGAGTCTTGTTGCAGTAGCTAGAGCTTTTGATAATGCCTTCCAGAGGAAATGTTTGATCTTAGGTTGAATAGGGAGTTTCCATCGTCTGTTCTTTATTTCCAAAGATCCATGGGGCATCACTGTATATGGACCAACGTAACCGGGATCATGAGTGTTTAGCCAATAACCAGAACGGACAGTATAATCACCCGATTTATTGTAGTTCCATATCAAACTATCCTTTGAAACTTCCCTGGGAAGGTGAATACGACGTAAAAATGGTTGATCCTCCGGAGATATATGAGTGTTGATCATGTGTTCATCCCAATACCTATGCTCTCCTCTTGACTTGATGAATTTATCTAAAGTTATGTTCTCAGTTTCTCGACTCAACCGTATTGGTCGTGGAGGATGTGTGTCAAGTAAAGAATCTGAAGCTACTCTGATCGTCTTGCCATCACCAACTATGTACCGTGTTCCTTTTTTCAATAAAGCTATGCCAACTAATAAGGAAGACCAACCATATGATTGATATGGACGTTCTTTTGCATCCAAGACAAAACAATCTTTGAAGTATCTTGCCTTCATTATTCTCGCAAACAGAGAGTCAGGATTGTTTATGATTCTCCAAGCTTGTTTTGCCAATAAAGCATCATTAAACTTCTCAAGATCCTTGAAACCCAAACCGCCATCCCTTTTGGAATACTGTAGCCTTTTCCATGAAATCCAAGGGATCCCTCTTTTTTCTGAATCCCTTGACCACCAATAATTCATTAACAGTGAATCAATTTCTGAAATGACACCTTTTGGAAGCTTGAAACAGGACATGGAGTATACCGGCATAGCTAAAGCAACTGATTGCAACATTATCTCCTTCTTTTTGCGTCCGAATAGTTTGGGTAATCCTACGTATTTTCCACCACCTCCTTGTTTGTGGATGTCCAGTATGTGCTTGAGCCTCTCCTGTGTAGCACCATAAACTCGGGAACCAAAAGTGATCATTGATTTTACAACATTTATTTTCTTAAAGTTTAAGTGTTAAATTTGTTTTCAATTTTAGTGAAAATTATTATTATTTTTTTAAAATGAGTTTTTAAAATTTAACACTTGAACTAATTTTTAAAAAGTAATAGTGAAATTAACATGGTTTTAATTAAAGATTATTAATTATTTTCTTAAAGTTTTAGTGTTATTTTTTAAAAAAAGGAAGAATAGCTGGAAGCTAGAGAGTAGCTAAAATCATTATTATTTTTAACATGATTTTATTAAATCAACATGGGTTTTTAGTTAAAAACTATTAATTATTTCTTAAAGTTTAAGTGTTAAATTTGTTTTCAATATTAGTGAAAATTATTATTATTTTTTAAAAATGAGTTTAAAAATGAGTTTTTAAAATTTAACACTTGAACTAATTTTTAAAAAGTAATAGTGAAATTAACATGGTTTTAATTAAAGATTATTAATTATTTTCTTAAAGTTTTAGTGTTATTTTTAAAAAAAATTTAAAATCATTATTATTTTTAACATGATTTTATTAAATCAACATGGGTTTTTAGTTAAAAACTATTAATTA